GGTGTGGGGGTGGAACCCACCCCCCTCCCCCACTCGTCAGCAAATCGGCAAATTATTATCTCAGTCGGCAAAACTGGATTGGCTAAAGATAACCACTGAAGAAACCAAAATTGACTTCCTGAATAATTGAATTCAAACCGAATATCACGACTAGCATGCATCAAAGAAACCACACATGCAGCAATGCAAATTCTTTCTAACTAAATTTGTTTGGTTGTTGTTGTTCAGTTGTTGTTGCTTATTAAACTGTTCTATAAAAGAGGCAATAAAGCGGTCGGTTTTCCACTAGCGAATTTTTTCGCATGTAGCGACCTTTTCCTTTGTCGGTATCACTTATTACGTCAGCAAAACGTGGCAAAATCAGTCTTCGAAAACGAGGTCGGCATTCCAAGGTCAGCAAATTTTTGCCAAAGTAAGAATTTTTTTGGTGCTGGTAGCTGTTAAAAAGTCTTAGTCTCAATTATAGAATTCGATTCGTAGTTCGATTAACTGAACACACTGCGGTGTAAGGTTTAAAAATTGACGGGTATTGTGTATATACGTTAGGTGTCTGAAGATCAAATTTCGCGCGTCTGGAGTTAAAATTTGGCTTCAACTTTCGAATTTTCCGGCTGGAGGTAACGTTCCAGTTATATTCCGATTTCAATGATTCGTAAATGCGTGATTAATAGTGCTCCAAGACGTGAAACAGATTTTAAGAAATGCCGACCTAGGTCAGATTTAGATCGGCCCTTTTTTGCCGACCTCAATTTTGACGGTTTTCGAGGGCTGTAAAATGGATGCCGACAAAGGAAAAAGGTCACTTCGCGTGGAAAAATTTGCTAGTGGAAAACCGGCTTAATAGAGGGTAATAAAGCGCATTTATAAACATGCACATTTACTATAGGCTAATGACTAGCCAAAATTACCAAACAACAGTCGGCAAAAGATCACTCAACCCCACTCGAAGAGGGTTAGTGCCGCCCCTGATTTTGTTGTTAATTTTAATAAAGCAACATGCAAATATTGGTTATTGCTTATTATTTTCAATGTTCTTGTGAAGCAATGCAGTCAAATGCAAAATTAAATGTTCGCGGATAGATAATCATTACCAGAAATCTTGGACATTACCAGCGGTTAATTATCCGCCTACTTTATGCATACATAATTAATATATGTAGCATTATAGGTAGTGTATAGAAATTTAATTTTTGTAAAATAAACTGATTTATCCCCAATCCAAATCCAAAACGGTAAATGTCTAGAAAACTATTTGTGAGTTAATTAAAACAAGTGAGAAAAAAAGTTTATTTAAATTTTTTAAGACAAAAACTTCAGACGAAAACATGCTCGGACGGGATTCGAACCAGTACTAGTCGTGCTCCTAGGCACTCTCTTTAACTGACTACGAGTCACTTCGTTTCTTCATAGTTAATAGAATAAATGGTTTGGGAACTCATTACAATAACAACATAACTCATTATCTATGTTAGTCAACGTTTATTCATAAATCTGGTCCTTCACCGTCACGTGTGTATTGTATAGCAATGTTTTAGGGAAGTTGCCTATCCGGGACTCGAACAATACAGGGTAAATTGGAAATTGCTATTGGTGGATTTGGCAAAAATACAATACACACGTGACGGTGAAGAACCACATATTTTTCATACAGATTTTTCATACATGTCAAAATATAATTTTCTGATTATTGTTCAATTTTAGGCAAAAGAGCAAAGCTTGAAAACATGCTTTTTGGATTTTTTGTTGTTTCAATGCTGTTCGCCGTGATGTAAACTGATAACCTTAATTGCACTTTTAGTTTAATATTCAACAATTAAAGCATTAAATTCACTTACTGTATAACAAAAGCGTCAGAACTTCACCAATGGACCATTCCCCAATTAACCAAAATTTTGAACTCAACAAGTTTAGACAAAAATTTCATCACAGCTTGAAAGATCATCACAAAATTAGTAATATTCCAAAGTTACGTTGCAAAATGGTGTAAAATGCTGATAATATAGCCTTGCAAAGTTCGCAATTTTCAGTCATTTTAGATTACAAACGGGAAATGGTTACCACTTCCGTGCGTAATACAAAATGACCGAAAATTACAAACTTCGCAAGGCTATATTATCTGCATTTTACAACATTTTGCAACGAAACTTTGGAATATTACTAATTTTGTGATGCTCTTTCAAGCTGTGATGAAACTTTTGTTTAGGCTAGTTAAGATCAAAATTTTGGAAAAGTGGTAACCATTTCCCGTTTGTAATCTAAAATGACTGAAAATTGCAAATTTCGCAAGGCTATATTATCCGCATTTTACAACATTTCGCAACGAAACTTTGGAATATTACTAATTTGGTGATGCTCTTTCATGCTATGATGGAATTTTGTCTAGACTTGTTGAGATCAAAATTTTGGAAAAGTGGTAACCATTTCCCGTTTGTAATCTAAAATGACTGAAAATTGCAAATTTCGCAAGGCTATATTATCCGCATTTTAGAACATTTCGCAACGAAACTTTGGAATATTACTAATTAATTTGGTGATGCTCTTTCATGCTATGATGGAATTTTGTCTAGACTTGTTGAGATCAAAATTTTGGTTAATTGGGGAATGGTCCATTACTGATCATCATTAATTGCACACCAAAGCCACATTGAGTGGTATATGTAATATGTTAAAAATATAAACGTTGAAGGCTTATATTCCAAAGATGGAAATTTCGAGTGATAATTATACACATCTTTAGACCTAACCGGGGGCCATTGCAAAAAATCCAAGCTTCCTTGCATATATACCTTGAACTTGTGGTGAATGCTCGGCACCTGGTCTCTGTAGCTCAGTTTATTAGAGCGCCGCACCGGGATCGCAGGGCCGCAGGTTCGATTCCTGTCAGAGGCCTATACACAGTTGCATTAGGGGCGGACCATTAGAAAAGTGATGGTGGCGGGGGGGGGGGGATTTTCTAAGAGGCAAGAAATTTTTTTTTCTCACTTGATGGCTGGAAATTTTTTTTTATTAAAATTTATAGGCCTATCTTCCAAGGAAGGATTTTTTTTTTTGCACTATGCCTGGGAAGATTTTTTTTCCCTAATTTTTTTCTGGGAATAATTTTTTTTTTGGTTTTGCCCCCCCCCCCCATCACATTTCTAATGGTCCGTCCCTAATTGGCTACTGCTCCTGGTTAGGTCTAGTAATTAAGAATTATTGGATGAGGCTGAGCAGAATATCAGAATTATTCAGACCGAGGTCAGCATAATCTGCCAAAGCGAAGCTGAGAATGCTGAATCTGGATAATTCTGATGTTCTGCGTAAGCCGAATTCAATAATTCTTTTATTATTCATCCTGTATAACAAAAACAATCAAGTTGAAACCAAAGCGAGCAGAAGCCATTGTCAAAACAAAATAATTTTACAAAATTTCCCGCTCTTTTCCAATTCATGTAAAATACCGCTGCAAAAATACGCGGGCACCTACCGATACGATATTTATTTGTCTTGTTCACATGCATGAGATACGAGATTTATTTAATTGTCATGTTCATATCTGCACCGAGATACGGAAAATTACCTGTAGGCTTTCAACCAATAAGAATTATTGGATCCGGCTTACGCAGAGTATCCAGAATTATTTAGACCTCGGTCAATGTTGTCTGCCTCAGCCTTCGGCGGCTTCGGCAGATAGCATTGACCTCGGTCTGAATAATTCTGGGTATCCTGCTCAACCTCATCCAATAATTCAGGTTAATAATTTTCACTACAAATTTCCATCTTCCAAAAATCCTTCAATATTTAGTTCTATCGAGTGAGAGATACACAAAATCCTGATGTTAAAAATATAGCCGAAAGTAGCCATTACAGTAGGACAAGTTGATAACGTTGCTTACGCGCGAAGTATGTGCAGAAGTATCAAGCTGCTCCAGTAGCTTTACCTAATATTTTAAACTTTTAAGACGTTTTATGCAGAAATGGAAACGCCCTCACTGTACATCGTCGACGAAATTCAGTTCCTCGGTATAAAATGTTTTTAAAGAATCGAAACAAGACAACAATAAATCCTAAAAATAAGGCCAGTTAATTAAAAAAATACTTTTGTTTTTTATTCGCTGCCCTCCCCTAAAAAATTGACTCCCGGAATTTTTTTTTAATTAATCGGTATACCGTGGGGCTGTCGCGTGGAATGGTCTGCCCTCTCAACTTTTGCGATTGGTAGACGAACCTCGATCTATTTCTTCTTTTCGTAGCTTGATTAATAATTATTATAAAACTTTGTAATAGCTTGTATATGTTGTAATATTTTAACTACTTATAAATGTTGTAATTCTTTTTAAACACACGGCCCTTTGAAAATCACACAAGCGAAAGGCTACCGTGTTTAAATATCTTTAAATAATAATAATAATTACGCATGTTTTCTTTTGCAAAGTCCGCTAGCAGAGTACAGTAATATGGTTTCGCATTCAGGCGTAGAAATTGAAAATATTCAACTTCCAGAGCAAACTGCAAAGGGAAGTGGAGCGTACCAGGATTTGATTTATCTCTTTGATCTTCAAATGCGCAATAGGTCTTGACTGTGACTATCTCTTGCACAATCGCTTTTTAAAAGCGAAATAGGCTACATACGCCAATAACTAAAGTATTAAAAAAAACCCAGCCCGCCCGTCCCCAATTTTTTTTCAAAAAAGTAAAGAAAAATAGAAATATTTTTTGTACTTGGCCCGATGTAAAATTTGGTTAACAAATAATGTACTTATTGCTCCTAATTCTACCGTTTATTCCTGCTTGCGCAGGGCAGATCTTCTTACAGTATAAACAATGTAATATTCAATGCAACAAACCGATATAACAAATGTTATCATTTTTACTTTGCGCGGTCACCGCCTTCAATTTCACTCGCTCGCTAAAAACTGGGAAAATTCTAAGGCAGACTTGCGGCAAATCTACGTACAGGGCAGTAACGACCAGTGTGTGTGTGTGTGTGAGGGGGGTGTCACACCCCCTCCCCCTCCCCAATAATTGTGAGTAATATATTTTAGGTAAATGTCAGATAAGCTTGATTGAAAATTCAGGAAACAATCGTGCCTGAAATCGAGGAAGAATTAGCATTCAATATAAGATTTATAAGGTTAATAGTGGTATAAGCTTAGCATCAGGGCCGACACTAAAATATTTGAGAGAATGCCTGAAAATCTAATGTCCAGAAAAACTTTTATATATAATATACGGAAAATTTTTTTTTAAGAAATATTAATTAAAAAGTGAAGCCTCGCGTGCATGAGCAACCGCTGGGCAGTGGCGTCAGCCCTCCACTCCATTTCCACGCCATAAGTGCGTCAGTTTCAGTCCCTTTGTACGCCATCCGACCCGCGCGGTCCATCGCCACGTATACAACGTATACCAACCATATAGTACACAGTATACACGTGCATGTCAACATGCACAGTGAACTCATAGTACATCAGTTTCAGTCCCCTTATACGCCATCAGCGCGCGGCCTATCACGAATCAGCACGCTGGTGTTGGCGTGAAGTGGCGTTTGCATTGGCTAAATGCATTGGCACAGAATATTATGCAGAAGTCCATCTCGATTGTTTTTTTTTTGCGTAAACGCTATTCGTCACTCAGCAAGTACCGTAAACAGAAGCAGTCACCCCCTAGATGTGTGCCATTTTGAATATTTCCAGGGGGGGTGATTGCTTCTGTTTACGGTACTTGCTGAGTGAGTACTTATAAAGTCCTTATAAAGTCCGCTCTTGAATCCATATACTTTATTTATTAATCCTCTTCAATCCAGTACTTATAAAGTCCCGCTCTTGAACCCATAAAGTGTGGTGCTTTTGTCTGTCAAGTCCTTCGGTAATACATTCCACACTCTCCCTCATGTTATTGTTGCAGATAAAAGACATGCCACTGATGCTACATGCACAGCAGGAGTAACTGTGTCATTTGATCTCTTGTCAATTTTTTTCATTTACTTTCAATACTTTTCTCATTGCCGGTTGACTGCTGACTCTTCCACAGTCCCTCATCCATGCACGGTACGCGCGGTCGCGATTATCGCATTCCCATTAAGCCCCGCGCGCCCATTGTTCTCCCACTGATTTCTATTCGAAACTGAAGCGACGAGGGACAAGTCAGGGTTGACTGTATTTCCTATATTTTATATGAACACAAGTGAAATTAATGATGTAAATAATATCATGTAGTGGCGTTCAAGGCTAGTTGACACATTGTCCAAACTTTTACTCCCCCCCCCTCCCTTTCCCTCCCCATATCTTTAAAGACCATGTCAAGTACGTTCTGCGCATCAGTTATTTATCAGTTCTGCTCATAACATGATAACAAAGGGACCCCCAGATATAAACATTGCCCAAATTTTGCATCTTTCGAACTTTTTTGAATTGAAATGTACTCTAATTTATATTCATTTACAATAGCGAACCAGAAAAGTGTTAGATATCTAAAAGAGGGTGTTGATGGGGTATATTGTGACTTGTGAGTCGTGATTCACTCAATTTCGGTTACCGTTCCGTTAGTCGTGAAAACACTAAAAATTTAGCGTGAATCGTCAGGAAAAAATACTGTCAGTGACGGCGCCAGGCTTCCAAATTTGGGGGGGCATTTGAGGGGCAAACTCAAATTTTTTTGGGGGGGGGCAAGATAGAATTTTTAAAAAGGTCGCCCCCCCCCGGAAATTCGCCCCCCCCCTCAAAACGTGGCGATATTCCTAGGAATATCGCCCCCGGGGGCGAATATCCTAGGAATATCGCCTCCCAGGGGGGTGGGGCGAATACCCTAGGAATATCGCCCCTCTTTAGGACATTCGCCCCCCATATATGCGATGTGGTTTATTCAAATAATTTCGTGATACTTTCATCTTATTATTGCCTTACACGTTTGAGAATTTAACTCTGCAAAACTAAAGCTTTTTGTCTTTTTTTGAAACGTATTATTGGAGTATTGGCAAGTTTTACCATTCAGAGATTTACAAACTAATATTGAAACTGTAAAAAACAGTTTCATGTATATGCGCATTCACTAATGAGTAATGACAACTTATAAGCCATACATTTTCCGATAACGACAGAACGCTTGTGTAG